GGGGGGGGGGGGGGGGGGGGGGGGGGGGGGGGATCGGAACAAAATGTAAGAATGCTTGGGTAATAAGTGATATTTGCACTAGCATGAGATACTCACTGCAACTTGGAGTTGGAGTTCTCGTTGTCGTTGGAGCCCTTGTCGTCGTCGGCACTATCTTTGTCGTCGTCGGCACTATCTTTGTCGTCGTCGGCACTATCTTTGTTGTCGTCGGAGCTCTCGTTGTCGTTTGGACCCCACCACTGCCCGAGCCTATCAAATACAGAAAGTTTAAAGGCGGGGGAAAGCTCGATATACGTCTGATCTGATATGATTGGTCTGATGCGAAACTGACCACAGGTTACAGTGCAGGTAAATCCAATACCCCCAATTTGGGCATACCGATAGTACTGAACGGTGAAGTCCTTTCCTGCATTCCACGGGTTTAGTATCCCCGAACCGCAAACTCTTTATAATGAAACGTTTTCGTTCTAAACTTCAGCATCAATCATGCAAGCTCATGGGGAGTACGGATTAAGATCTTGTCATTACGAATATCCTTTGATGATGAAGTTTGCAGAGGGGCAAGGTATGACGACTGTAGAGCATCGAATATTCATGTCCACGGGGCACTAGGAGAGAAGTAATTTCAAATTGGAGCATAAAATTCAGAGTTTCAGAGTTGTAATAAAAGTCTTCGAGAGATTATTCTAATATTTTAACTAACGGTGAATCGCCAGGTGCAAGAGTAAAGATAGTAATCGCTCCCGGTGGTTAGGGGCGATGATTGTCCAAGTGATAATGTCAGATTTGAGGAACACGGTGGTGTTTGTCTCTTCAACGGTTTTCCCCAGTCTCTACGCGTCCCCTCCGATTCGTCCTGGAACGAAAGCCCAAGACAGAGACTCGAAATATGTATGTCGACCGATATGAGACAAGTACCGAACTCAGAATTTCACCTCGCCGCGGATAAGGGCCATAAGGTTGACGAGAAGCGTGAGATGAGAGAACTCCATGACGATCCGCTTTTCCCGGTAGCCTTGGACTCACTGTACTCGGTATGCCACGTTCCTGGCTTTTTTGATGCACGCAGTTGGAGACCAGGGAGCATCAGACGGCGCCGTGGACTTCGGGCACGTGTCACCATCGGTGGTAGCCATATGTTAGATCTGCGGAATACAGATGCGCCTCTATTCGTGCTAAATTATAGCTCATTCGCGGGAGCCACTGGCGTCGTGAGGGGAAAAATATTTGGGGGCCTCGGAGGGGGCGGGGGCGATTTTCCATCATTTTACGCAGGTAGAAGCGACTCTCCTTAGCTGATGCTTGCCCGAGCTAGAAGCCTAGACCTGAAGTAGGCGGCTCAGAGAGGGAAAAATCGTTTCCCACAAGTTGTTACAACTGGGGGGGGGGGGGGGGGGGGGGGGGGGGGGGGGGGGGGGCACAGCGAATAAGTGACTCCCACAAGCGAAAAGGGATATTCGATGAGGCATCCGAGTCGAATTCATTGGAAGTTTTGCCACATGGGCAGATATTTTAGTGAATTTTCTTGAGCAATTTACGCTTAGAAAGTTTTATCATCGGACCTTGCATGCTTGGGAGACAGATTGTTGCCTGTGAAGTAGGGGAAATTGGAAAATTTTATTCGGAGTACTATTTTTTTCACTGTAGCAGATTAACTTTAGGAATGAAAGCGTTTTTGGGAATTTCAGGTTCTTGTCGTGGAGTCTTTGATGCAGATATCCCACTCAACAATTCGGGAAAGATAAAATCATTTAAATAATTTCGGAGGCCCATTTCCTGATAGAGGGGGACATGGGATTGAATGAATTGCTAATGAATTACTAATGAAATGAATTCATTAGATATTATTGCAAACATGGGATATGAATGCATTGACTTCGATGAAGTCAAATTAATAACCGGTTTAACCAACTATCCAGTCAAAGTAATGAAACGATTAAAATTTAATGAATAAAATTGAACGAACTTCACTCCAATTGCACATCAGTACTGTTGAGAAGCAAAGGTTTGTTTTCTTGTTTATCCCACAGGATTTCATGACGCCCTTGCGTTGGTCGCAGCAGCTGTGTTCACTTGTTTTTGTTTGTTTTTTAATTTTTTTTTGTTGCTCCGTGATCCAAGAAAAATAGATGCAAACACCTCCTATCCGAATCTCTCTGGAATTTCTTTTTTTTATCATTTACTTCTTTCCTCTTGATCCTGAAACATCGAACTCGAACATCGAAGTGAGTCCTGCGCATATGCACCATCAGAGTGGCAGCCTGTAGTTTTTCCCTGGACTTCACGTCAGCGGAAAGAGAAAGGTCTCATTTGGCGATCTGTTTGGTCGATTCTCGCTGTTCGATGATGGCGAATTAATGGAAAACACTGACAGAATGAATTTCTTAAGGAAAAGTTGCTGAAAATGTTCGCTTTGTTTGGGTAACGAAGAGCGTGCATTTCCCACCAGTGGCGTAGCGAGGGGGGCTTCAGCCCCCCAAGTTTGGTTCAACCCCCCCCCCCCCCAACTCCGGTCTAAATGCATCCCCCCCCTCCCCTTCCCGGCAAGGATATGTAAGCCCCCCCATCGTTCTGCTTAGCCCATTTTGGCCCATATCTGCCTCTTCGGCGGCTCCTGAAACGGAAATTAAAGACAGCTTCTCGAAATGAGAATGCTGAGAATGGAAGATTGATGTTGAGACCTCGACCTAAGCCGGCCAAGAATATCAGGGAGAGAAGGAACGTGAATTGAGAGAACTTCATGGCGGTGCGTGTTTCCGGATATATTGGGGCTCACTGCCCAGATAGCCCCCCCCCCCGCCCCCGCCCCCGCCCCCGCCCCCCCTCCACAGCCTAAACTATAAGAGCTGGGGGAAAATCTCTTATATCATGAGAAAGAACATTCATTTTCGAATCTAAACAAGTACTTCCCGTAATTATTTTGCACCCTGGCTGTGTCTCAAACAGCTTTAAGATGAGCCGGGTAAGATGAAAAGAGGCGCTTAAAGAGTTCCGTGTCATCTTCCACGTCCTTCGACACTCTGGTGATGCCCCTTTTGCAAGGCTTCTCGGGAGAATCCGTACTGCTTGCCCTCCATATGCCTGAGCCTCAACTCGATCCTCTAGGGTAACCCCAATGTTCTCCCCCCCCCCCCCCCCATTCCGCATTTCCAAAAAAAAATCAGTCCTTGAGTCTTTCAGCATTTGCTGCGTGATCAAAGCTTTGAAAAATAGGGTTTTATCAGACAGAAACTGAACGTTTAATCTATTTCGAAACTCATGAATGGGTTCAGTTCCGACATCATGAGCTCGAAACGTAAAAGCACGGATGCGATCAATGAATTTAAGTTCCTCACCATCATGACATCAGAAAAAAATGAACGGGATAGAATATATTCAAAATTGAACAAGGATTCCAAATGCATTTTAAATGTTTTCCAAGCTCCTATTGTTTTGGCTGTGGATTGGGGGGGGGGGGGGCTATGCATGTGACAAGTGTCATTTCCCCTCATGGCCGCGTGACAAATGAGAACATTTGAACGTGCAAGCATCATGGAGATTGCGGGTGTAAGAGGCAACTTGTGAAAGCCAGTGGCTTCATGTGAGAAAACTCTGAATTTGTGGCCCACTAAGTGAATCGTTCGGTGAGATTAGAGAGATTCAAAAGAATCTCTCGGAACTCTCAAGTTGAAGAAAAGGGCTGCACGTTTAAAGTCACTACATTGCCGGGAGGCGGAGAAATCAAAGGAAAATCGAAAATTTCCTGCTTCTTCAGAGAGTTTTAAGTTAGCTTATGTGAGGTTGGATAAGTGGTGGCTGATGTTTCTCGCAGCAACTTTCGCAGGAAAATGCAGCAACAATTAATTTCCCAGGCGAGCATGACATCATCAACAGCGATGCGGAAAACACCGAAACCGTTCCCATACAAGATCAGGCGTGTCCAGGAACTGCAATTTGGTGACACGCAGGCACGGCTGAACTTCGCACTCCGGTTTCTGGCGCAGATGCAGCTTGAGGACACCTGGCTAGACAAAATCCTGCGGTCGGACGAGGCACATTTCTCGTCGTCTGGGCACGTCAACACACGGAACTGCGTCATCTGGGGGGAAACACATGCTGTCGTCGAACAACCATCGCATTCCACGAAGGTGAATGCGCGATCATGTGGCCATGTTAGATGTTGGACAGCTTCGGTCAGCCGTCGATCACAAAATATAACGAACTCAAGCAATAGGAGGTCACATTGAGCAAATGTAGCAAATGCTGGTGGCCACATCAAATGACCCTATATTCCTCTTCCCCATGATCCCGTTATTGTTCCCACCAAATGTTACAACTTTATTAAGCATAGTTTGCATATTATAACTGTCTGAACATGGAAAGAAACCTCATATTAACGTTATGCTAACCCTGTATATCCTTTTAGGGTTACGGTTCACAGGCACACGGCTTAAGAACCCCTTCTTGAACTCGCTCTTGCGGTATGGTTTTATAATTTCAAACGCTTGTTCATAGATGCAAGTAATGTACTTCGTTCTAATAACATTTTGATGTAAGACATGCCCAAGCAGTTCCTCCCCAATGCGACGCTGGACGGCCTCGAAAATGCGAGTTTTGCGAATTTTGTGCAGTTTCATGCTTTCTTGTGTGGAGACGAACTTTGGATGGGAAGTAACTGAGAGGCTTTGCTGTGTTTTCTTTGTCTGAGATTTTCAATGATCCCTTCATGTAGCGAAATAACCCCCCCCCCCCCAAAAAAAAAAAACATTAATAAATAACCCCCCCCCCCCCCAAAAAAAAAAAAACATTAAATTGAAATTTTAGCGAAAGTAGTTATTCACTCCTATTCCTAGGAAAGTACATTTAATCCAAAAACTTTCCAAACAAAATACGGCCCAATCCTTCCAGATTAATTTTCGATGAAGAAACTTGAAATACAATAGCTGGTAGAGTCGTGAAATTCTGCCCCGTGAAGCAACTTATTCTGCCATAGACTTAGCATGGGATGAGGTTTCTTCCTGTCTCTTGTCTTATGCGACACCAAAAACTGCTTTTTTGAGTGGGCGCTTAGAGGCTTACAAGGTCAGGCCTCTGCACGCACCTCGCTTCCTCGTCTCGCACGGCCTGGTAGGTGGAATATTGGCATGAAGGAGGAAAGGAAAAGCGAGAGTCGTAATTCCGCCGATCATTTTCCTGCAGTGGCGTGCCTAGAGTTTTTTGCCAAGTGGGGCGGCCTTAGCCCAATGACCGCTCACCCTCGCTTTCATCTCGGTTGCAGAGTGACGTAACCAATGACTCACTTTTGGGGTCTAAGGGAGTTCTTCGTTCCTTTTCCCCTCAAGAAGGAGGAACGAGTGCTGAGCTCAGAGTTAGAGCAAGAGAGTGAGGGGGGAAGCGGTGGGCCACGTATCAATCCGTCGGCACGCCACTGCCTTCAACGACAAAACTTACTAAATTATCCTAACCTCTCATTGATCTCAATGACAGCTCTCGCAGGCGACT